TCTCTCCAGGAGATGAAGGCACTAAACTAAGAATCAGTTATTTCTGGGGCCAGGGATTTAGCTCATTGGTGCTGTCGCCTGCCTTGCAAGCACAAGGTCCTGAGTTTGATTCCCGGTACCAAAAAAAAAAAAAAAAAAAAAAAAAAAGAATCAGTTATTCCCTTCAAGTGGAATTGAAAAGATGGCACCATAGCCAGGCGTGGTGTCGCATGCCTGTAATTCCAGCACTTGGGAAGGGGAGGCAGGAGGATCACCATGAGTTCAAGGTCAGCTTGAACTACAGAATGAGTTCAAGGCCAGCCTGGACTACACAGCGAGACTCAAAAAACTGAAAGGAAAAAAAAAAAAAAGATGGCACCAGCTGACAGTAGTCAACAGTGAGACATTTCCACAGAGACAGGTGCATCATCTGCTGCATTTACTGCCATCAAAAACCACGTTTTCCTGAGTTTTTCTATCTTTTGATTCTCAGGGCTTGTCATTTGGATGTGGTCAATAAATGAGGAATGGAGAAAGGCCACCTTCAAGAATCCTGTCAAACATCTCATGAAGAATCTCCTGGCAGGAGAAGTTCAAAGCCAATATGGGCTACAGAGTGAATTCAAGGCCAGTCTAGAATATAGTGAGATCCTGGCTCAAAAAGCCAAAGAAAAGAAAAGAATTGTGTAGGAGCCTAGAGTGTTGATGTATAACTGTAATCCCAATTACTTGGGAAGCTGAAGCAAGAAGGTCTCAAAAAAGCGTTGAAGATGTATCTGAGTGCTAGCATGCCCAAGGCCTTGGGTTTAATCCCCAGCACTGCAAAAAAAGAAAGCCAGCCATGATGGCACACACTTATAATCCTAGCACTTGGGAGGCTGAGGCAGGAGTATCACCACGAGTTCGAGGCCAGCTTGGGCTACATAGTGAGTCAAGGCTAGCCTGAACTACATAGTGAGACCCTATCTCAAAACAAAAAACCCAAATAAAACAAAAAAGAAAGAATTGCCTGGATCTCTGATCTGTCATGAGTCATCCAATGTCAGTAGCCAAGTACTGTACAGTGGTATACACCTATAATCCCAGCACTGAGGGAATCTTAGGCAAGAGAAATGCATGTTAAAGTCCTGCCTGGGGAATTTAGCAAGATCCTATCTCAAAATTTAAAAAGGCAGGGGATATAGTTTAATCCAAAGGCCCTGGGTTCAGTCCCAAGTATGGGGTGGGGGAGAGCAGAATCCATTGTCAAAAACCAAACTTAACATTTCTCACCCAAAATGAGAATATTTTATTTGGAAGTTTACTTAAGACAATATTAATGTCTTTCCTAATACCATCTTTTTTGTTAAGAGTCCTATGCCACCCGCCCTGTCCACTTTCTCCCAGTGAAGCTGCTGGGCACTGCTCCCTCCCTCTCCCTTCCTGAGGTGCTGTGGGGACTCTGCTGTGCGAACTCAGTTTCTTTCCATGAATCTGCTGCCCACTCCCTCCCCAGACTGGCCAAAAGGATGGGCATGTCTTATACCCACTTCGTTCACTGTCTCTTAACTCTGGGGCTTTCCTGATGGTCTCAGGGATAGGGCAGGTCTGATGCAGCTGGAGATGTCCTGGTGTGCTCGGCCTGCCAGAGCTTGGCCCACAGCATTGTTTGGCACAGCCACTTAAGTCTGGTGCCAGCTTTTTTAAAAAAAAAATTTTTAATAACGGTTCCTCTAATGAACAGAGAGCCTCTGCTTCTGGGCCTTTGTACATGCTGTTTATAATCCCTCATGTCCCTCCCTGGAGACTTTTCCCTGAGGCCCCCACTGAAGCTGAGTTCTCTACTATGAGGCTTTGTAGTAAGACAACACTGTCTGCTGCTGGAGACTGTCAGCCCACGGCAGGAGTGCCTAATGCTACAGAATAAACAGCCCTATTTGGGCCTGTTTGTGCTACTGCCTGTGCTGTGGTGGTAGGGGATTCTCAAGGTAGGTTCCTTGATCTCCAGCATTCTCTCCGACTGTAGTCACATTTTCCTCTCACTTCCTCCTACTGTGTTTGGGACCATCTTGCAGTTGACATTAAGACACTGACACAGGCCAGGATTAGGCAAGGTCTGTTACTGACTGAGAACAGAAAATGTCCTGGCCGAAGAGGTGGAGTACAGAGCTGTATCTTCAACATTTGAGAGACCAGCTCAGCTGGTGGCCAACATCCTCTGGAGCTTGACCAGGCAGGATTCCCCTTCCTCTCCTGTTGGCCTTCAGTCAGGCTCGTCTCAAGGCCTGGCCTATGACAAGTATCCTGGCCACATCTCCCCATCCTGCATTAAACTGCTTTGTTTTATTGTCTTCTTAATTCATGTGAAACTTAAGTAACATGGACTTAAAGATTTGGGGTGGGGGATGGAATCCAAGGCCTAGTGGGAGCCAGGCAAGTTTCACTTCCAGCCCCACCTAATGATTTTGAAATGACTCTGGGGCATTCTCTACATTCACACTGTTGGGCAACCCCCACTTCTACTAGTTCTCCAATATTTTCCCCACCTCAGAAAGAAACCTTGTCCCTGTGACCCAGCTACCCCCTAATCCTCCCATGGTAGGCTCTCTGCAGGGTGGAAATGTGCACAACACAATGTGTCTGTTCCCCAGACCTGCCAGACTCTGCAGGAACAACTGCTGCTGGCCATGTCTAAGTGCACATTTCCAGGTAGCATGATTGTTTTTCATCTGCCACCTGTGCCACAGTGGAATGTGTTTACCTCCTTCAGTTTTATTCCAGCTGCCCTTTGGTTTTTTATTGGTATGAGTTATGATTTATTTAAACACAACTGGGCTGTGTCTCTCACTTGCTCCAAACCCTCTTCTTTTGTTTTTTTTTTTTTTTGGTTTTTTGAGACAGGGTCTCAGTAGTTAAGGCTAGCTTTGAACTCTGTGTAGCCCAGGCTGGCCTCAAACTTGTGATCCTCCTGCCTCAGCATCCTGAGTGCTGGGATCACAGGCCTGTGCCACTACACCCTGCCCTCTTCACCTTTGAAACCTAATTTATAGCCAGGTATAGTGGTATATACCTGCAGTTCCATGACTCAGGAGACTGAGCCAGGAGAATTGTGAGTTCAAGGCCAGCCTGGGATACATAGCAAGTTTGAGGCCAGCTTAGAACAGAAAGAAACTGTATATCCAAAAAAAAAAAAAAAAAAGACCTAATTAAAGCTAGGTGTGGTGGCACATACCTATAATCCCAACACTCTGGGAGCCTGAGGCAGGAAAACTGCAAGTTTGAGCCCAGCTTGGGCAATTTAGGAACTTAGAATTTGTCTCAAAATTAAAAAAAAAAAAAAAAAAAAAGGCTGAGGATGTAGATCAGTTTGAAGGCCCTAGGTTCAATGCACAGTACAGAGAGCAAAAAAAAACTAAGACCATCTCTTCCCAAGACACCCTAGTCCCCCATTTTTCTTTGTGCCACCCTGCATCTAGTAACCACAGGTTTCTCCAGCTTAGTGTTTGCTCCCCTGGGAGGCTCCCAGCTCAGTGAAGGTAGGGGCTCACTCCTCTTTGCATTCCCAGAGCCTCACCAGTTTCTAGCACATAGATGCTCAGTAAGAACCAAATGAATGGATCAAGGTCTGAGGCAGACAGGACTGGAATTGTGAATCCTGACTGTTGGAGTGTAAAGGTGATACTGGGCTTCCAGATGTGACCCCTAGGGGCAGACATGGGATCATGGACAGATGGGGCCCCTTTCTGGTTATCTACACTTTCTGAAAATCTGCTCCCAAGACCAAACTGCACGCAGGCATTGGTTTATAAGTCACCTGGATTCAGAGAGCTGCACACTGACCCCGGTGGCCAGTGCCAGCCCCTGGCTCAAAGAGTAAGAACCAATCAGGCCCTCTTGGCAACCTCCAAAGGTTGGAGTCAGCAAGAAGGGGGAATTGCCCCATCCCTACGATCATCCGATCATCCTAGTCAGTCTTTTCTACCTCTTAACCCCTTCAATGCTTGACTTGGGCTGGAGCAGCATGGGGTTTTACAGTTCATTTGCAGCCGCTAAATGTGCCTATAGAGCACCTTTGTGCAGGGTGACAGTAGTGGTATTGGGTTCTACTTATACATTATATTTGTAAGATATTTTTATTTTTCACAGATCCTTGTATTATGTCATAACCTTTAACTTTTTGGTGCTAGGATTGAACCCAGGACCTCTTGCATGCTAATTACTCTACTACTGAGTGACACATCTCTAGCTCCAGCCTGTGGGGTTTTTTTTCTTCTTTCTTTTTTTTAAGATAATAAAATAGTTTTTTCTGCTGGGCATGGTGGCACATACCTGTAATTCCAGCACTTGGAAGGCTAAAGCAGGAGGATCACAATGAGTTCAAGGCCAGCCTAAACTACATAGCAAGACCTTGTCCCAAAAAAGCCAAAAAGGAAAAAAAAGAGAAATATTTTCTCCCTGGGTAAATATAAATGATCATGGCCTGGGAACATGGTTTCAAGTTTCCCTGAGTGACATGTTCCTAACATTTTAAATTTATTTAGTTACTTTTTTTTTTTGATACTGGGGATTGAACTCGGGTCCTTGCTTGTGCAGCAGGCAGCGAAACCACTGAGCTAAATCCCCGGCCCATAGTTACTTTTTTTTTAGAAAAGGTGTCACTGTGTAGTCCAGGCTAGCCTCCTCACAATCCTCCTGCCTCAGGCTCCTAAGTCCTGGGGTTACAGGCATATACCACCACAACCAGCTCTCCCCAAGATTTCATCTTGCCCTTAGTCATGCCTTATCTCCCCAAATAGTGCAATTATGCTCTTGTTCCATTTCCTCACAGCAGTGCCTGGTCCACATATGGCTTTAGCTAGCTAAGGTGAGATAGTAGGGTGTTCTCTCGGCGTTGTCTTCTCACAGCAACTTGGGAGAATGGGGCTGTCTGCAGAGACACATGCTCTGATGTTTTTGACATGGTTGCTGGGGCTGTCTGCTGGTTCCCCCTTACAGTATTTAGTGTAGTTTTCTTTTTTGGAATAAATCCATCTTTCCAACTGTTTGAGGCCATTTGGGACTTTATTCCTTATCTCTTTACCTCCTTTCCTGGGGTCTATGTGAAATGGCATGGGCTCTCCTCCATCTCTTCATTCTTCTCCCCATATGGTGTCTGAGTCGCATTTCCAAAGCTTCTCCAACTGGTGCCTGGAAATCCCCTCCTGTTCCAGCAATGATAGTGACAGGCAGGCTTGTGATCTGTGATTTCATGTAGGGGGAGTAGTGGTGAGGGAAAAGGCAGAGCTATGCCCCAAACCCACCTGAGTCCATTTCACCCTAGGGCCCTGTCTAGTACCCAGGAGACCAAGAGGTAGAGAAGGTGACATGGGCCTGTCCTGGCTTCTTCACTAGTTGGCAGATGTTGGTTGAGCTCCCTGAAGAGGCAGGCCCAGGTCCTGGAGTTGAGTTTCATTTCCACCACTGCTAGCCACTGACCTGGGCAAGGGTCTTTACATCCTGGGCCTGTTTCTTTGCCTGCAAAATGAGAACAATAGGGACAACTAGCTATGATGATAGCTAGCTCACTAGCTATACTCACTATAGGGTGCTCACTATAGGGCCTAGCATACCTCAGAGCTCAGCAATATCAGCTGCATAGGCTGGGTCACCCTACAGGGTTCCCCAATGCTGATGCAGAAAGAGGCAAGAAACCCTCAGTGGGGGAGGCTGAGGGGGTGGTGAGGGCAAGAGGGTACCATGGGAGGCTGAAGGAAGTGCCCAAGGAAGAGGAAGGAAGGGAAGGAAGACAAGGCAGGAGGATTTCTTGGCTGGGATAAGATGTGATGAAGGATCATAGGTAGAAAGTGATTAAAAAGGTCCTGTGGTTGGGTATGGTGGCCTGTAATCCCAGCACTCTGGAGGGTGAGGCAGGAGGATTGCCTTGAGTTCACGGCCAGCCTGAACTACACAGCAAGATCCTGTCTCCAAAAAGCTGGGGGGGGGGGCTGTGGCTTCAAGATGAAGAATAGGTTGATTGGGGCCAGGGTAAGACTAGGTAGGCAGGCCTGGTTAGACGTGAAGAAGACCCAGGCCAGAAGCAAGACGCAGCTGCAATTATGGGGTGGGAGCAGAGCTGAGAGCTGGGAGTGAGTGAACATGAGTAGAGAGAAAGGGTCAGCAATGTGCATTCCCAGCCAGGTGCTGGGGGTGAGTCTCATTGGTCTGCAGTCTCAGCAGTTCCCCTAGAGACCCACAGCCTGACCTCACACTAGAATTAGGCAGAAAACAGAAGGATAGTGAGAAGCCAGTGAACACAGTTGTCCTGCTGATCACCCTGGTGTCGTCTTGTTACCTCCAACACACTGGGTTAGGTGCACTTTACCAGCTCCTGTGCCAGCCAGAGTTCCCTAAGGGTGGACTGTACTGCCCTTCCCTTCCCTTCCTTGGTCTAGGTTTTCCCCCTGCATGTTGCTTCCCCAGTCCCCCAGCCAGGGCCATCTCCATAGTTTGGGCTACCTGGCCACTTGAAGAGTGGTCAGGACTGGAAAACTGCAGGCAAGGAACAAAAGTGCAAGATGGAGGATAAAGCCTCAGCAAAGACAGGATCATTCAGGGGAAGGGGAGAGCCCAAAGAATCCCTGGGAACACTGGGGTCCCTGCAGTGAAGCTGAGGCTACAGGGCCTGGGGCTGTCCTTGTTCCTCCAGGAAGAATGAGGATGGCAGAGCTATAGGAAGTGAGCAGGGGAGAGGGGAGGAGAAGCAGGTGGCCTGGGTAGCGGCACAAAGGCCCACTCAGAAGGCCTGATCACTGTCACTCTGCTCGGAGAAATGGTAGTCACTGTGACCTTGGCAAGAGCAAGGAGCTTTGGAGGGAAAAGAAGTGAAGAGGTGGAGATAGTGAAGATTCCTCTTTTCAGGGTCACTGATTTAGCTCAGTGGTTCCGCTGCCTGCCTGGAAAGGGAAAGGTCTTGAGTTCGATCCCCAGTATCAAAAGAAAAAAAAAAAAGATTCCTCTTTTCAAAAACTAGAGAGGTGAGAAAGAGGGAGATGGAGGAATAGTTTCTAAGTGTTCTCTGTATGTGGCCTCCTCTACTTTGAAATAAAACAGACTTAGGTATTTTGGTGGGCAAAAAGTTCAGAGGGTGGCAGATCTGGTCTAGCAAGGGGTAAGAGCCCCAGGGAGGTTCCTGTTGTGGAAGGTGAGGTTGAGAACTCAGTAAGAGGGCTAAAAGGAAAGATGACCCTATTGCTTACATGGAGAAGTTGGTGAGCAGGCACACTTAAGAGAATTATCTGATCCTTCGAGGTGGGTTTGGGGGTCAAGGGAGACCTAGGCTGGGTGACAGTGAAGCAGGGAGGAGATGAAAAGGGCAGCAGACAGCCAGAGCTGGAGAGTGGAGATGGGGCAGCCAGTTGGGGTTCCCAGACAGTCAAATTCAAGGCAGGACCAGCCTCAGGTCAGGCTCCCTGAGAGGCTGGGGGAACCATTCTCCACCGTCGCTGCTCCTGTAGGTGTGGATTTTGCATGAGGCATTAGTAAGACAGGCAGGAGATCTTTGACTCTAGAATATTCAGAAATCTAGGGGACCCTTGACAGTTGGGAACATCGACAGGGATTCAAACCAGTCATGTCTACATCTTGAGGAAAACAGACACCCTCAACTGACGTCTGGGGCGGTGAGACAAGGAAGGGTACAGATGAGGGTCTCCTTTTTCTGGGAACCAAGGGATGAAGTCACCAAATGCTGGCCAGAAGACAGTGGTTCTTAGTCTAGAAGAGCCTAGGGATAGGGTGAAGGGATGAACCCGAAAACACAGGAGGGGGCAGGTAGAGGCCAGGACCTCACTGGAGGGATGAGTGTTGTTCCCGGGAACGGAGTAGAGGAGGCCAGCGCCCCGCACTTGGGATTTCTCACCCTTGAGCTCGACTGCTCGGGGAGACTGTGGTTCGGCGGCTGGAGTAATGTGGGCTTGCCTTAACGTGAGAACCCCGGCCCAGTCAGGAAGGCCTGGGGTTCCACTCACAGAGCGCAAAGAAAATTGCCACTCAGAATCTAACGCTTGCTGGCGCCGCGCAGCCGCAAAGGAGGCGGGGCACTTGTGGACCCGCCCCATATGCTAATAAGGCATTCCACCTCCCCGCCCCGGCCCGGGCCCCGGACGGGCCCAACCCCTAGGTGGCTGAGAGGCCAGCGGCACCGGGTAGCGCCTCCGCCGATGCTGAGTTGAGGTGGAACAGCAGGATCCTGCCTGGAGGCTGGCAGCAAAAACCAGAGGCCGTCGGCTGGTTGCCTGGTGTCCGGGACCGTGGCTCTCTCACCTGCGCGAAGTGGTACAGTCTGCAGGGGCGGGGTCTGAGTCATGTGACGCGGTCGCGGCCGCCATTTTGCTCTGCGGTTCTGGTATTTAGAGTGCAGCGGCAGATTGGCCGGGTAGCCTTATCCTTCATCGCCTCCTACCTGTGCGCTCACCCGCCTTCCTGCCCGCTCTCCTCGTCCCGCATCCGTCTGCCTCGCTTGCCCCTGCCTCGCCCGCAGACATGTCTGAGGCCAAAAGCAGCCCTGAGTATGCTTCGTTTTTCGCCGTGATAGGCGCCTCGGTCGCCATGATCTTTAGCGGTGAGCGCCGTTGCAGGCTGGGGCCAGGCCAGGGTGGGGGGCGCCGGGGCGCCGAGGTTTCTTACCCGCAGCTTGCGGGGGGGGCTGTGTGTGACGTCACTGTGACGTGATCTCCCGCTTTCAGGGGTGCTCGGCCTCACGCAACTGCAGGAGGGGGCTGATCTTTCGGGCTTCGGGGGCCGTCATGGGTTCAGGGCGTGCAGGCTCAGGTCGAGGGGATCCCCAGCGTCCTGGCCAGCCGCCCTGCCAGCGGGTACGCATCGGTGAGGGGGTGGGGCGGCAGCATTGCTGCCATTTTAGCCCTGGGAGGCGAGAGGAAGGCTGGGGTGGGGGCGCGAGGGGAGGTGCGCTGTCCTGCGCCTGCTCCGCACCCGGCTTTCTGCGTGACATCACACCTAGAAGGGCTCCAGTTCGTGGGCGGCGGCGGGCTGGGGTCGGGAGCGTCTGGGAGGGGAGTCCTTGGTCTCCTGGCCTGTATGAACCCGTCCACACCAAGGTCTGCAGCCCTGGTTCTTGTGACAGCCGGGCTAGGGGGATTAGATAGGCTATACCCTGAGACAGATGCTTCCAGTTTGGGCTCGTCGCAGTTTCCCAATAGTCCAGTCGGCTCTGTGGGCTGATTGGGAAAGCTGGGCTGAAGGGTGGTTTCTCGGAGCCCGCAGGAACCCAGGGGCGGCAGTGAGAGCTTACGGAAATGAGGAGGCGGCCGTGGGGTGGGGTAGTGTCTGGGAGACAGCACTTTTGTGGACATTTGCTGAGGGTCTTTGCTTTGAAGTGGGAAGGAAGAGAGAATGAGGTGTCAGCGTTTGTAGGATTGGGTTTTTGTTCTTTAGGAGAGTCCAATTTTGGCCTTACTGAATGAATGAGTGAATGAATGACCTTCCTTCTCTTTAGGGGACTCGAATCGGGAGAGGCTGCCCTGGGGTGGAGAAGGGACCAAACAGGGTTCTTAATGGCACCTACTTTTAAGGTTGGGTAACAGTAGACCTAGAGTGTCAAATTTATTGAAAGGAGGTTGAGCCAGACCCAGGAACGTGGGACTGAGGGAGGCAAGTCCTGTGTACTGGTCTGGCCTGGTCTAGGCCTCCTTAGGTAGGTCTGTTTTTTTCCTTAAGTGGCCCCGCCCTGCCCCACCCTACCTGGTGGACTGGGGAAGCTCCCTATGTAGGTAGGTATGCTGAGGGTTTGAACTCTAAACAATCTCTGCTGACTGTAAATACCTGTGGGGTGGGGGCTTAGAGGCCCTGCTCTTTTGGGGGCCTCCCTCTGCCTGGGCTTGTCTGTTAGTCACGGGCTGCTGAGTGAGCTCTGCCCTTCCCCATTCCCTTTGAGTAAGGGGTCATTTGTGGTGGGAGATGTGGGCTAGACTTCTCCTTCTTTCCTTGGCCACACCTGCTCTTCCCACTTCCCTTGGGCTTCTCTTAAACAAGTTGTCATGTGCCCATTTTTTGCTATTTTCTGGAAGAATGCCTCCAGAAGTTTGGAATCTGACCACTTGGGTGGTTTCTGTTTGTGACTGACAGCTTTCATTCATTCAACAAATCTTGATTGCATAGTTAGTATGTGGCAGGTATTGGGGGGGACATAAGTTAACCATACAAGATCCCTGCCCACATGAAACTTGCATTGTGGCTGTCAGGGTGCATCCGGCAGCCCTTTCTCTGCACTCAGCTCCCTGTCCCCTCTCTATCAAGAACTTTCATATGGCTAGACACCATGGCATGTTACTGTAATCCCAGCTACTTGGGAGGCTAAGGCAGAAAGATGGGAAGTTGGAGGCCAGCCTGATAAAATTACCAAGATCTTGTCTCAAAAAATAAAATAGGTTGGGGGTGTAGCTCAGAGGTAGAATGCCAAGTGGGTTCAATCCCCAGTGCTGCAAAAAACCCCCCAAAAAACCCAAAACAAAACAAAAAACCTGCATGTGCTTTCTGAACCTGCTAAGCAGGTGTCTGCACACCAAGAGCAGGGTCTTGCTGGCCTGGACCTTTCCTACTTGGTCCAGGCTCCTGGGGATTGGAGCCTACCCACACTTTTTGGCCCTTAGGCAGCATCTGTCTGTGTACCCTAAGCCCCACTCCTGCTCTCCATATCCGGCTTAACACAGCCTTACTAACCTCTGGCTTGGCCAGTTGAATCACCTTCTGACTTCATTTCTGCCCTCTAAGTGTGCTCTTTTCCCCCAAGACATGTCTTCATCTTTGCTACCAGAACAAGGCCTTCTGTTCTTGGCGATGTCTGGTTGTTGCTGAACTAACTCCAAGTTATGTTCTTGACCCAAGTTCACACTTGCTAATCTTTAAACCAAATGATGTCCACACATATTTCAGGCACCCTAGACCCCCATCTCACATTCTAGCTTCCTCTTTTCTCATATGACAAACATCCTGTTGATTCTTTCTTCATCATGTCTTCCGTGAAGCCCTTAGTTGCTCCTTTTCCATATTTTCTGTGACTTCCTGATTTGGTGCTTATGTTCCTGGAACTGCCCCCGACTCTACTCTCTGCTCCACTGACTCTGGCATTGTTGGCAGTTCTGTCTTCTGTAGTCCTACCAACTTGGTTCCCTGGGCCCCTCTGCTGACCAGGCCTGGTTTTATCTCCCTTGCTCTGGCTACAGGTGGTCAGCCCAGTTTCTTACATTCAGTCTTCATGTTGCCCTGCCCACTCCCTAAGCACATGATCTCCATGCTGCCTTTTTTTTTTTTTTTTGTACTAAGGATCAAACTCAGGTCCTTCCACTTGCGAGGCAGGCAGCAGAACCACTGAGCTAAATCCCCGGCCCATCCATGCTGCCTTCTGAGGAAGGGCCCAGCGTACTTCCTGCCTCTTACAGAGTCTTACTACCTGGGGTGCCAAGTTTTCTGTGTTTTAAATTCCCCTTCCCCTGTGCTAGGAGTCAGCCTATGCTTTCCTTGTGGATGACATGTCCCAACAGTGTGAGTCCTGGGGTCCTGGCCTCTTGAAAATACATGATCCAGGCTGACATAGAGCTAGGCCTGCAGAGGGAACCCAGAATTACACCCTAACCAGTAGAGTTCCAGAAATGGCCTCTTGAGCCCAGGTGCTGGGAGTTTGGGCCTGGCAGTGTTTGGGCACCTCGGTGCTGAGGAGGAGGCATTATGGCCTTCTGCCCCAGCCCCTGCTTCCTCCTCCTAGTTACCACTTGTCCAGTATTTTGGAGTGTCTAATGTGCTGTCCAGGATCCTTGCTCTGTGCTTTGTCTTCTTGTGTCTCCTGCTCACCCCACTAGCTCAGTGCCATCTGGTCTATGATCCTTTCCTGGGGCCTTTCACCCCCCCTCCCCCAAACTCCTGGAAATGTTACTGTGTTGGGTTACTGTCCTGTCTTCTTGCTGGCCTTTGAGTCCTGGGAAGGCAGAGCCCCTCTGACCTCATCTCTGCTCAGTGCTGAGCATAGAGTAGGCATATTTTTGTCTCAAAGACATCCCCAGCTGGGATTGTCCAAGTCCCTTCTACCTCTGACCTGTGTTGTCTTCTGTGGGTCAAGCTAGTTACTGCTGTCCCCAAAGTGACCATGGTATGGGTGCCCTGGAAAGACAGGGTAGGGGCTGCAGTGCAACCTACTCAAATGGCCCAGTAGGGCACTGATCCTGAAAGGCAGGTGGTAGAAATCAGAACTGCACTGCTGGGTGTGGTGGTGAATCCTTGTAATCCCAGCACTCCGGAGACTGAGGCAGCAGGATTGCCGTAGTCTGAGGCCAGCCTAGGCTACATAGTGAGTTCAAGGTCAGCCAGAACTACATAGCAGGACCCTGCAGTCAGTCATCTTTCTTATACCGTTTCCTCATTGGCTCACTTTTGCACCTCCCTCCCTGGTTATTTAGGGAGGATCCTATAATCTTTCAAGGTTTCAGGGCCCTGCTATATGGCTGAGGATATAGAGAGCTGCCCTTTATGACAAAGTACAGCCCTCCTAGAGGCAGCCATTTTAGGACTGGGTGTAGAGGGAAGTTGGGTGGGCTGGATGTTGAATCTGGAAACTCTGACCTGGAGAACAGGAATTGCCAGATCAGTTGCTGAGGTTACACACACCCTGTGGCAGGGCCTGTACCCCACATGCAGTGGCAATTCCAGCTTCTTGTCTCCCTGAGGTACACATGCTTTTTCAGGCCGTTCCTGACTAGAAGTACTGGAGACTTCAGGTGGGACAGAAAGTGCCTAGAATCTCATGCAAGACTTGGGGTCCTAGTGGCCTAGTCCTATATGACTGGCCTGCTTGATGTCACAGGCAGCAGGCTGGGGGAGTGCTAGGGAGCCGGGTTGAGTTTCATAGCAGAACAGGAGCCCCAGACAACAAAGGGCACCTCAGGAGGGAGTGTGGGATGTAGGGGTGCAGTGAGAGGACTGGAGAAATGGCTAGAGCTGTGGCTGTTCCTCCTGCAGGGCTTCTCTTGGTGTCTTCTCCACATGTGGTAACTTGGGGATCCCTCACAGCTGTGCCAGAGCTCCCCCAGGGTCCTGTCTGAGCAGTCAGTGCTATTTTGTGCTGACTTCAACTCCCTCCCACAGCCCTGGGTGCTGCCTATGGTACAGCCAAGAGTGGCACCGGCATCGCAGCCATGTCTGTCATGCGACCAGAGCAGATCATGAGGTCCATCATCCCAGTGGTTATGGCTGGCATCATCGCCATCTACGGCCTGGTGGTGGCAGTCCTTATCGCCAACTCCCTGAATGAAGACATCACTCTCTACAGGTGAGCATGGCATGCCCTTCTGGGTGCTGTCTTTCCTGGCTGGCAGGCTGCTAATAGCCCTGTGTCTCTTCTCTTCCCCAGGAGTTTCCTTCAGCTGGGTGCAGGCCTGAGTGTGGGCCTCAGTGGCCTGGCAGCTGGCTTTGCCATTGGCATTGTGGGGGATGCCGGCGTTCGAGGCACTGCCCAGCAGCCCCGACTGTTTGTGGGCATGATCCTGATCCTCATCTTCGCTGAGGTGCTCGGCCTCTATGGTCTCATTGTGGCCCTCATCCTCTCCACAAAGTAGCCCATCTCAAGCCTACCAGCCACAGAATACTATGTAAAGACCGCCCCCTCATTCCAGAACGAACAGCCTGACACACACCCACGGGCCACCACCCCCTCCGTAGTTGGTCTTGTAAATGCGCAGTGTCCTAGTGCCCATCGTCTGTTGCCCTGCCTGCCCCTTCCACCCCGTGCTGTGGACACCTGGGCCCACTCATCACCCATCCAGGGTCCAGATCAGTGAGGATGCCAGCGTCTGCCCCCCCACCCCATCATCCTAGAGTGCTCTGTGTATAAGGATGAATTAGAGTTGTCATTTTTCTCTTCACTGGATGTTTTATTTATAAAGATTTGACCTGTTCATACTTATGTGGAGCAGCCCTGTCTCCTATCTATATAGTAACCTTCAGGTAGAGTATTACCTTGGGATTCCCAGCGCTGAGACCGAGGATGGACCCACCTTCCCTCCGCCTTCGGACTGCGGGGCTTGGAGGGCAGAGTGCCAGCCCCGCCAGGCCCTGGCGCCATGCTGTGTCCAATAAAGTTCTTGGATGTAACCAGAGCCTGTGTCCTAGTGCTTGTGGGGGCGGGGCGGGGCGGGGCGGGGCAGTCGGATAGACCGGCCCTTCAGCTGCGGCGCAGCCCTGCTCTCCGCGCATTGATCACGTGGGCTGCAGAATCACGTGGCATTGCAGTCACATGGCGCCCACCTCCATCCGCTGATGATCACGTGCTGGGGCTGTTTCCTGAACGCCGCGGATCCGGCGTTGCCTGCTGGTTTGGGCGGCTCACGATGCGTGGTGGGCAGGGTGCAGAGCGGGCAGCGGTGCTCCAGTTCACCAACTGCCGCATCCTGCGCGGTGGCACGCTGCTCAGGTGCGGGGTCGTGGGGCGGGGGGCGGGGGGCGGGGCGGTGGTCGGGCAGGCTTGCTGAGTGCCTGCTGCTCCGTTCCGTCTGCAGGGAGGACTTGTGGGTGCGTGGGGGTCGTGTCCTGGACCCTGAAAAGCTGTTCTTTGAGGAGCGGCGCGTGGCGGATGAGCAACGGGACTGCGGGGGCTGCATCTTGGCCCCGGGCTTTATCGACGTGCAGATGAACGGTGCGGCCCGGCTGGGCCAGGGGACCCAGGGAAAGAGCTGTGAGCACCGTATGACCCCTTCTTTTCTGTGGCCACAGGTGGATTTGGTGTTGACTTCTCCAGGGCCACGGAAGACGTCGGTTCGGGTGTCGCCCTGGTGGCCCAGAGGATCCTGTCTCATGGTGTCACCTCCTTCTGCCCCACCCTGGTCACTTCCCCACCAGAGGTTTATCACAAGGTGAGGTTAGGCTCCTGTTCTCAGGCAAAGAGGGCCCCAGGTGCAGCTAGCCCCTTAACTTTCATGCCCTTCCCTTCACAGCACGCTCCCTGGTATGGGAGTTCCTCCCTCCAGAGTGGGAGGCACACCCACCTGCCACAGGCCCCGCCTACCCCTACTGGCCATCTCCTGGCTTCCTGGACCAGGGTCCATGGGGACTCTTGATTGCCATAACCATTGTCTTTGGTGAGGCTCTTCCTAGCCAGTCTGTGATGTATAACTCAGTTAAACACACCTTCTACAAAGACGTGCTTCCCTAGTTCTTAAGGTACTGTCCTGAATCCCTACCCTTCTCCCTTCTTGGTTAGAAAGAATTCTCTTATTCTTGTGTGGTTTTCCTTCTAGTTTTAACTTAAGCTTATTCTCCCTGCATGTATGTTATCTTTTACAGAATCATTTAATGTAAATTGCATGCATCATGCATCTTTATTTCATAATACTTAACTTTTTAAAAAAAAATTGGATATTCTGTTAGGTAACCACAATACCGTTGTTGAGATCAGGAATTTAGTGCTGTTAGCCCTACTGAAATGGATCAGGTCTATTCCTGTTTTTACAATTGTCCCAGGTGGTTTTCCCTCCAATATGGGATCCACTTCAGGATCAGAGAATGTGTGACTACCCTTGGGTCCCTTTCTGGATGTGTGGACACAGAATCAGAGCAGGGAACTATGAGGGTCTTGTGTTTGGTGCTCCCTGGGCTTGGTTCTGGCCTGCTGACTTGTCAGGTGAAAGACTCAGAACAACCTTACTTCTTTTTGAGCCACAGTTTCCCAGAACCTAAAGTGAGAATGATCAGTCTCAAATCTCTTACCGTGATTGAGTGCTCTGCCTGACTTGGTGCATATTAAGCACTGAGTAAATATCAGCTAGGAATGTCTTTCTAGAAATATCCCACAACTCTTTCACAGCAAGTGTCAAAAACCAAACTCACCTTTCCACTGCAAACAGATACCTGATTCTCTTAGCTGCCTTTCCAGGCTCTGAGTCCTGCCAGCAAGTCCCCTGCCTCCACCCCCATGATATTCCCTTCCTACCTGAGGAGCCTCTTCTCTCTCACTAGGCACATTCCAGCAGCTTCAAGTGTCCTTTCTTTTGCTCCCAATCTCTGCCTGGAAGGCTTTGTTCTCCTGATAGTTAGCTGGTCCCATGCCGCCCATTGCCTCTTCCTCTTTGTCTTGCTTCAGCGGCAAGTCTGCCCAGTATGATGCAGATAGCTGCCTTTTCTTCTTCCTTGAAGGAGGACTCTGGATGAATAGTGCTTGCATTTTTTTCCTGGCTCCCACTGCAGTCCAGTACCTTATAGACTGAACAAAGCTTTCTAGAATAAAGGCCTTGAAGGCAGAGTGCAAACTGTTGATGGTAGAGATTGTGGGGGGCTGTGGATATGAAAGTGCATTATCAGTGTTATCTTAAAAACCAGAGGGGGCCAGGGATTTAGCTCAGTGACACTGTGCCTGCCTTGTAAGCACAAGGTCCTGAGTTTGATCCCTGGTATTGGGGGAAAACCCCAAAAAACAAAACCAGAGGACCCTTCCCCACTGGAACCCTTCTTCCTCCAGGGTCCCTTCACACTGGGTGGAAATGAATTGCCACTTTGCCAGAAGTTACCCAGGTCTTTTGTTGTTAAGCTCATTGATAACCATCTCCTCTTTTTGGGGGGTCTCGTTTAGCCCTGCCCTTTGCTATCCTTTCAAGAGACAAATCTGATCATTTTGTTCCCTGCTTCAAGATGGTTATCTGCTGAGTTGAGGTTAGACACCTCCTCAGGGTGTCATCCTATCCATTGTCTCTGGCCTCACCCACCCTCCCTCTACACTTTGGACTTTTCACTTTTCCAGATGCTTACCTGCATTCTTTGTTCTCTACTTAGTGCTCCCTTACATTTCTTTTCAAAACTCCATTCTAGGAAAATTCGGCCTTGTTATTATTTTTTTAACCTACAGTGAAATTTATGTCCACATAGTTTGTTGGGAAAAACAGAAGACCCCCAACCAGTTCTCATCCTAGGCTTCATTGCTTTGAACTCAGCTCTTCCTTTTGGAATTCACCCATTTATCTCTAACAAGTATGCTGGTTATCCTACTTGGTTTTTTTTTTGGTTTAGGGCAGTATCTATTGCTTCCCATTGGCAATGATGAGGATGAGGATTAGCCTTCTCTCATCTACTTCCATTACCTTGTCCTTACCAAATAGTTACTAGTAACTTTGATAACATCTGTATTGCTTAGTCATTGGAGCTGTAAGAAAGAGTCCCCAGATCAGTTATATTTTCTCATCTGCCAATTCTGCTTTCCTTGAAGTTAATATTCTTTGCTTGTTTTGATTTTTCTAGCTACTAAATCACCTGGAGGCTTCCTGCTAGTTGTCCTAGTTGTCTCCTTCTCAGGCAATTTTTTTTTTCATTTTGTTTTTTTGAGGCAGAGTCTGGCAATGTAGTTCAGGCTGGTCTTGAACTCACCATGTAGCCCAGGCTGGCTTTGAACTTGCTGCAGTCCTCCTGCCTCAGCCTCTCAAGCTCTCAGGCAATTTAGATGCAGCACAGACTGCATCAGTTTTGTCTTCCTGGTCTCCCCAGCACTAGTTATTGCTTCACCAGAGTCCTGCTGTCCTGGGATATCCTGTTCTCTCACCTGGGACTGGGGTTGGTGAGGGGGTGGGTGTTTCCTGTCCTTTACTGCTGGGTTTCTCGTGTCCTGGATCCTGTGTCTTACTCTTAGCTGGTTTATACCTTTGTTTTGGTGGAGCACATCCTTTAGTAACTTCCAGTGAAGAGTCATGGGAGGGTAAATTTTTGAGATTGCAAAGTCTGAAAATAACTATTCTGTTGATCCCAGGCTGGGTTAAGAGTTCTAGGTGAGATGTCATTTTTTCCCCTAATTTTTTGTGTGTCTACAACCCATGGCTTTGTGCTTGCTAAGTTTGTATTCTACCACTGAAAATGAAATACATTCCCAGCCCAAGACTCCTGGGCTCCACCCACCTACACTTTAACCTATTTTCTTTCTGAAACAGGATTTTGCTATGTTATGCCGGCTGGCCTTGAACTTCTGGGCTCACACCATCTCAAGTGGCTGGGACTACTACTGTGCCTGGCTTCTCCCCTGAATGTTAAAGGCAATGCTGAGATTGTCTTTGAAGTTCCAGGGTAACTGCTCAGAATCAGAAGCCATTTGATCCCTGATCCTCTGTGGGTGATTGATTTTTCTCTCTGGGAGCTTGCAGGATCTATTCTCTCTCCCTGGATCTGAGGTCTCAGAGGGACAAGCTGTGAGGATGAGGGGTCTTGACTTTCCTGCTGCTTGTAGAGCAGCCCTGTTAAGCAGGAAGCTCTGCTTTGGAATTTTACTTTTTTTGAATTATTTCCTTGGTGACTTTTCTCCTGTTTCTGTATCATTTTATGGGAGTCCCACTAGTCCACTGTTGGGTGTCCTGGGCACACTCATTTTTTTCCTCCTCCTCCTCTTCTTGTTTTGATTTTACTTTCTAGACATTTCCTCAGCTTTTATCTTCCAGTTCTTTTGGGTTTCTTGCTTTGGTGCTTGTATGTTTTTTGTTTTGAAGAGCTTGTTTTATTGCCCCTTGAATGTTTCTTCTTTCTAATATTCTATTCTTGCATCATGGATCTAAGACCTCTCATTACCCTGAGAGTATTAATGATGACTCTTTGCTATGTACTCTGCTTTCTGCATCGGCTTCTCCCTGCTCAATCTTCTCGTGGGCAGTTTCCTTGTGTGCTGCCTGGGTGACTCTGCTCTGTTTGAGGGCTGGCACCGACAGGGTACTGAGTGCATCCAGCCTTAGAGTCAGGGTGGTTCTTGGTGGACACCTATAGGTCAGGATCCCTGGGTCCTGAGTCTGAGAGTTGTCAGGATCTCTAGGTCCTTCCTTGGTAAATCTTACTGTTCTGCTCCAAAGGAACAGGCCTGGCTGGTTACCTGATGAGAGCCTTAAAGACATATACTTTAACTTAATTACCTGGTTTTCTATTGTGCTTTGACCTACCCCTTTCCTAGAGGCTTTTTTTTTTTTGGTACCGGGGGTCAAACTTGGGTCCTGGCGCCCACAAGCGGTGAAACCAGTAAGCTAAATCCCTGGCCCCCTAGAGGCTTTCTTTTGTCTGGGCATTCTTGAGACAGGAGTTCCAGGGACCCAGCTGCACTCTAGTGAAGTTCCTTCATCAGTTCCCTTCCCCCAACCCCTAAGCCCATTTCTTCCAGTGCTAGGGGCTGAGACCTGAGCCAGTGGGGTACTTTCTTACCTCATGGGTCTCCCCAGATCTGTTCAATATCTGTGTGTCTAGCTCCCAGAGTCTGACTGCCCCTCATTCATTCTCTTTGTTATGTTGGGTTTAAGGTCTTAAAAGCCTCTCATTTTTGTTTGGGGTAGGGAGTTCCAGGGGAGGGATAGCCAGACCACCATCCTTACCCAGGTACTCTTCCAGGACGGCAGACTCTAGGAAGCCCTTGTGGCTCTGGTCATGCTGAAGGTGTCTTTGGCTGGGTTACCTGGCCCTTTCTTGAGACTGTGAGCCTGTCTCTCCTTCCCAGTGCTGTGAACTTCACGATCACAGTGTGGCTAGACTATGGTTGCTGAGTCCTGTTGCCTCCTGCACTGAGCGCTCCAGCTTCCAGTCCCTGCTTCTACCCTGCTGTTCTTGTGGACCCTGCCCAGCAGCTAAAGGAGGACAGGGTCATTCTTTGGGGGTCCCCCACTGCATTTCAACTTCTGCTGGGGACAGGCAACCCTGAGGCCAGGGGAGGTTAGAGCTGCTCTGGGTACCCACACTCCTGCCTGTATGACCTGGGAATTTTGTCTTGTCCTGGTCCTCAGGGCCTCAGGGTAGGTCACTCCATGTCCGTTTCTGTAATTTCTTCCTGCTCGTGACCCCCATGGGGTGGGGGCCATTGGCCATTTTCTAACTCCTAATGAGACTGCCAGCTGGGCTAGGCCAGGACCCTGACCTCTGACCTGGAATTTCTGACCTTGGCTGGGCTGTGACCTCTGGGTGCTGGGCTACAGGGGCCAGGAATTTAACAGCTGGTTCCCCCCAGGTCCTTCCTCAGATCCCTGTGAAGAGTGGTGGTCCCCATGGGGCAGGGGTCCTCGGTGAGTGGCTGACCCCCTCCCCATCCCCATCCTGGGAGGCCCCTCCCTCTCCAGATGTACAGTTGGGGAGAGAAGGTGGGCGGTGGTTGGGCTGTGGGGTGGGGGTGCTTACTGGAGTTACCCTCATCCCCTTCCCTTAGGGGTGCACTTGGAGGGTCCATTCATCAGCCCAGAGAAGCGGGGCGCACACCCCAAGGCCCACATCCGCTCTTTTGAGGTCAATGCCTTCCACGATTTGCTGGCCACTTATGGGCCCCTTGACAATGTCCGCATTGTAACACTAGCCCCTGAGCTGGGCCGGAGCCATGAAGTGATCCAGGCATTGACAGCTCAGGACATCTGCGTGTCCCTAGGTAAGGAGGCCATCTGAAGTGGTTGGGCCTTTCTGGGGTCCTGGGCTGATGCAGAGTCTGACCCCTAAGTCCCCCTGACAGGGCACTCAGTGGCCCACCTACAGGCTGCAGAAGAAGCAGTACAGAGCGGGGCCACCTTCATCACCCACCTCTTCAATGCCATGCTGCCTGTGAGTGCCACCCAAGCTCGTAGGTGGGTGGGGACTCAGTGGTCCCTGCTATCAGTCAGTTGTCTTCTCCTGTGTGCCACCCAGTTCCACCACCGTGACCCAGGCATCGTGGGGCTCTTGACCAGTGACCGACTACCCCAGGGCCGCTGCATCTTCTATGGGATGATCGCTGATGGCATACATACCAACCCTGCTGCCCTGCGCATTGCTCACCGGGCCCATCCCCAGGGTGAGCCTCTGAGCAGGATTGGGCAGGTAGGGTGGTGACTATCAAGGTCCTGAGGCATTTTCTTCCCCAGGGCTGGTACTTATCACTGACGCTGTCCCTGCCCTGGGCCTGGGCAATGGCCATCACACACTGGGACAGATGGAGGTGGAGGTGGATGGGCTGATGGCCTGCATCGCAGGTAAGTGCCCACCGCTCATGGAAGAATAGCCCCTTGGTACCTCCACACAGGGAGGAAAAAACCTCAATTCCCTTTCCCGGCACACTGGGCCCCCAAGTGCACAGTCCCCTGAGCCTGGCCTCTCTTATTGTCAAGGCACCAAGACACTGTGTGGCAGCATAGCCCCAATGGACGTCTGTGTCCGACATTTCTTCCAGGCCACAGGTCAGTGGGCTGGTACGGGTTGGGTACATGTGTATGTCTGGGGACAGAAGCTGGAGGGGAGGTGGGGATGATGAGAGTCCTGCACCAACTTCCTTCATTTGCCTTGTCAAGGGGCTTCTCAGGATGTGAAGTGGACACTGGAATGTGGACAAGGCAGAGAGGAGGGTAGAGAGCAGCAGCTTACTCAAGTTCTGGTGGTGGGCAGTGAAGCCAAAGCCCCCAGATGGAGCAGGGACCCTCATGCTGTCCACAGAAGGTCCAGGGCTAGCCCTGTGGGATAGCAAGACTCTGCAGGGTCAGCACAGTGGGCAAGTGGAGTGGAAGAGTGATGCTCCAGGATCCTGGGGTAGACTGTGCAGGGACCTCCTAAGGGAAAAGCAGAGAGTAGGTATCTGACAGGTCCTTGAGGCTGGATGTTATTCTGCAGGCTGGAGGACACCAGGGTTCAATGTGCTATTTAGGGCAGATGGGCTGGGAACAAGGGGCAGCAGCAGCAGGGGTCTGCTCAGGAGTCAGGAGAGGCCTGCAGTCTGGCTCAGGGGTAAGGGGGCAACAGGGAAGAAAGTGTGGTCACTTGGCTTCTTGGTTAGGGGATCAGAGTGCAGAGACCTGTGTGGCTGCTGGCATGGTGGGCCTGGGGATTGGTTCTTTACATGTACAGGGTTCTCCATGGGACCCAGGAGGTGGTCAAGGGTCCTGTGGACAGAGTGCTTTGTCAGGGAGGAGAGAGTCCTTGTGAGGCCAAGAAGGTGAGTGGGCTAGGGAAGAGAGTGGTAAGCAGGGTCCCCAGCTTCAGAGGCCAGGACTGTCCTCCCTTGACCCCAGATCCCAAAACTGGGGGCTTGGAGCTGTGCATTTTGCGGGGGCTGTGGGCTATCACCAAGCTGTTTTCCCAATCAGGCTGTAGTGTGGAGGCAGCCCTGGAGGCTGCATCCCTGCACCCTGCCCAGCTGCTGGGACTGGAGAAGAGCAAGGGGACCCTGGACTTTGGTGCTGATGCAGGTAAGACCCCATGAAGATGAGGCCCCTGCAGGGGCTGGGACAAGGCCCAAGTTGGTAGGTCTTCCCTTCATTCCAGCTAACTGGTGCCCTTGCCTGCCACAGTCTCCATGGGCCCTCCCTTTCTTGTTAGCCAGTCTTTTTGGTATTCAAGATAAGGTCAGGAGCTGCTCGTAGTGGTGCCACCTGTAATCCCAGCACCTGGGAGGCTGAGGCAGGAGGATTGCAGCTGGTTTGAGGATAGCCTGGGCTACATAGCCAGACCCTGTCTCAAAAACAAACAGGGCCGGGTATTTAGATCAGGGTGCCACCGCCTGCCTCACAAGCGCAAGTTCCTGAGTTGGATCCTCAGTACCACAAACAAACGGAAAAACGAAAAAGGGGGCACTGACCCTTGTTCCTGACTGTGAAGAGTTAAGGACCTTTGTTAGTCTTGTGATGGGTCAAGATGTCCTGCACAAGTGGTATCTCTGGGGGTCAGTTTTCCCACCAGGCTTGTCTGGAGGTGACTCCACATTGGGGATGGGAGGCCCCCTCCCAACCCCTCTCACCTTCTGGCTCTGCCCCAGACTTTGTGGTGCTGGACGACGCCCTCCATGTCTGGGCCACCTACATCTCAGGTGAGCTGGTGTGGCAGGCAGAGGAAGCCAGGCCATGACCTCAGACTTCGGCTGGAGAGGACGCCCTGCCAGTCCCAGCTGGACACTGATCAGGAGGGCATCTTCGGGAGCTGGTCTCCAGGGAACAAGTTGGAAGCCCTGTCCCAGATCAGCATTCATAGCCTCAAGCTAGCAGCTACCCTGGAGGTGATGGCTTGCATAAATGAGCAGCAGGACTTGCCTTGTCTCCGGGTTTTGCTTATGTTTCATTTGGAGCCTTTGGGGAAGGTGTTTGCAGCTTGGGGAAAGAATGGTTGGATTCCTCAAGGGGCCTGTTAGGCCTGATTTGCCTGAAGTCTACAGGCCCACAGGAAAATGTTAAGAATTGGGTGGGGTGGGAGGCTTGGGGGGTGTAGTCAGTGTTGCAGGTAGGATGGATAGAAGCCACTTCCCGTTGGAGGGTGCAAGAAGTGGCTGTTGACTGTGATGGAAGGGTGCTTCAAAAGTTTGCTCAATGCCTCTGAGCTAGCTGGGCAGATTGGAGGCCAATTAGCCTGGTTCTGGGTTTGGGCACAGCTTCAGGCACTCTGCACTTCAGGAGGGAGCCCATGCTGGTTTTGGGACTCCAGATCACCCAGTGCTGAGTCCAGGAGTCAGTGGCCCGAGGGCCTCCAACTTGACCCAGGAATCCTGGACACTGATTTCTAGCCTGCCTGGCTTGCGCATCCCTGTTTCACCATCCAAGACCTTTTTGGTAATTGAGGTTCCATTTCCTTTGGCGCTGCCTCAGCAATCCCATCTCCTGACCTGATCCTTGCATGTGACAAGCTCTCCTCACCTTGTATGTGGTGGCTGCCTTGCCTGGTGCTGCCATTTCAGGGTTTCACCATTGCCCTGGGCCCTGCAACTCTGTTTCCTAGAACTAGGCAATCCTGCTGCCTCAGCCTCCCAAGTGCTGGGATTACAGGCATGCGCCACCATGCCTGGTGCCATTAGTGTTATTTGGGCAATGTGCCCAAGCTGGCTTCCCCCAGTTGGGTAGTGTGAGTGGTCAGGCTCCTTGGATAGCCACAAGTTGGTAGACTTCAGTGCCCTCCTGGATCTGAGGATGGTTCTGACATGGGGGTTAGATGCTAGGGAGTAGGGTGGATCTGGAAATGGTATCTTAACACTCCCCTTTTGGGTCCTGGGGTCAGTGACCCCTTACCCCTTTCAATATGGTAAAACTGTTCCTCGGTTCGGGAAGTTGCAGACAGATGTTCCAGGACATTGTTGAACATGGCTCCCATCAAAGGAAATGTCTCCAGACCCAAAGCAATAAAAATGGTCTCTGGCTTCCACTTGCGTTTGAGGGCTAACAGCATGAGAAGGACAACTGTTGGGGAAGGGGCCACCTACAGGGCACATGGGAACCAGGTCTTGGCCTACTGGTTACACACTATCAGCCGAAGAGAATGAGCCTGTGGGATCCCTGGGTCTGCCCCATGTCTCATGCCTGACCAGCTTCTATAAGGGTGCCTGATGCCAAAGACAGACACAAATGTGAGCCATGCACCCAGTGCCAGGCAGCCCTCACGCCAAGTGCTTAATGAATGTTGACTCACTCCACCCTTCTGTCAGAAATTCAGAAGGGTCCTTTTTGTCATCCCGACTTCGGGTGCAGTCAGAGGAACTGTCAGATGGGAGGTCGATAGGCGTGGGGAGTCTGACCTGGGACTGTTCCAGCAAAGCCCAGGAGCCCAGAGCGTGTGTTGATGGGGTGAAGACAGCCACATAGATGGAAAGGGGTTGGCATGGTTAGGGGTATGGGGGTGTAGGCAGGACTCGAGCTATTGTGGGAGTTTGGATTTTATTTGAGGTGCAGGAGTAGTGCAGATGGGGTTGTAATGGTTTTTATTTTTTACTTTTCCTGGTACTGGGGATTGAACTCAGGACCTTGCACTGGCAAGGCAGGCGCAGAATTTAAAATATAACAAGTTTTTCTGGATGTGGCGGCACATGCCTGTAATCCTAGCACTCAGGAGGCTGAGGCAAGAGGATCACAAGTTCGAGGCCAGCCTGGTCTACACAGTGAGACCTTGTCTCAGAAAACTAAAAATCAGTAAATCACATTTTACAGTCAACCATTTGTGTGAATGTGGTGCTGGAGATGGAACTGGAGGCCCCACACATGCTAGGGAAGTGCTCTATCGCTGAGCTACATTCCCAGCTTTTTGTTTTAAAATTTTTATTAAGTTTTGAGACAGGGTCTCACTGTATAGGTCAGGCTGGCCTTGAACTCACAGTGATCCTCTTGCCTCAGCCTCCTGAGTGCTGGGACTACAGTGGTGTGCCACCATGCCCTGTCCATTTCCAGGCTTTTAATTTTTATTATCTATTTATTGTGGAGGTCCTGAGACAGGGTCTCCAGTCTCACTGTGTAGTCTCAGCTGGCCTTGAACTCACCAAATTATCCTAGGCAGGCCTGGAACGTGGGACCCTCCTGCTTCAGCTTCCCTTCCCAGTAGCTACTGCTCCAGGCTTCCATTTTAACTACTCGTAAGTGTACAAATCAGTGACACTAAGCACACACACACAAACTTCTCTCCAGCCTGTCACATCTCTTTTCACCTTCAAGGGAGACTATTCTGGTTGAGCATTTGTCCCCCAGCCCGTGGCAATAGTCTGCTCCCCCCCCCCCCCCCCCCCCCC